CCCCCTTTTAGAGCTGAGGGCCTTGCCCCTCCCCCCCCCCAGCACCCACAGCCTTGGGGCCTTTCAAGTCACCAGCTGGCCACCCTCTTGGGGTGCGGCTCCTGCAGGAGATGGACAGCCCCCCCCTCCCTGCAGCCCAACACAACTGCCAAGGTGGGGTGGGGTCATTATGACCCACATTTCCCCTCCCAACCACCTTTCCCCCCCCCCAGTGGAGGGCTGTGTTTTCCCTCTGCGCCTATTACCATATTCCAGGGGTAGGCAACCTTGGCTCTTTTATGACTCGTGGACTTCAACTCCCAGAATTCCTGAGCCAGCTATGCTGGCTCAGGAATTCTGGGAGTTGAAGTCCACGAGTCATAAAAGAGCCAAGGTTGCCTACCCCTGGAATATTCCAACTCGGAACTGGAGGCGGCCTTAGAAAATCATGAAGCATCCAAATGGATTGAGGCTGTTCTGAAAGGCCGCCTCCCCCCCCCCCAGACCAAGTGCTTTGTTTTCAACAGGTGGGATGAATCAACTCAAAGGCTGGGCAAGGGGAAGGTTGGATGGGGGTCTCCTGGACGCTCTCTGGGGCAGCCCAGCTGAATGCATCAAGGGGCTCCGTCTCTCTCCCTCTCTCTGTGATCTCCCGGGTGAGGGCCAGGGCTAAAAGCTCTGACTCCTGCTCCCCCACCCCATTTCTTCTCACCCCCCCCCCCAATTCCAGCACAAGAAAGGGCCAGCTGAGCCGTTGTAATGATGTTCTGCTGCTTTTATTTACGGCTAATACAGGACGCAGTGTAGGGCCCTGGCATGCGCGGAAATTACAGCGTTGGGAATCCCGGGTGGGGGGGTTGGAAGCTGGGCCCCTCCCCTTCATAGCCAAGACCCTCTTCCCCAGAGAAGCACGGAGGCTGCAGTGGGGGCTGGAGAGCCAGCACAAGAAGGCCTGGGGCTGGGGGCGGAGAAGGGTTTGGACAGAGGTGCCCCCACCCTTTTCAGCTGCTGTCCTGGATTTGGTCCCTTGCAGCTCTTTCCACCTGGGCCCACCCCCTCACCCACCCCCCCCCAGGCCAGGGGGAGGGCCGCAAATCCTTCCTGGCTGCCTGGCTGCCCAACCCCGAGGCCCAGGAGGCCGGGTGCAGCTGCACCTGCCGGGCGAGAGGCTGTGCCCAGGAGGGGAGGGCTGGGAGACCACCCAAGGCCCCCCCACCTGCAAGCTGGAGAACCCAGGAGGGGTGTTCAGCCCACCCCTCGATTCTGCCCACTGTGGAGTCGGCCACAACCCCACCGCCGGGCGAGAGGAGCTGTGATCTGCCAAGGCGCCGCCTGCAGGCAGTCCGAAGCGCAAGGCGTTGGCCGCAGCCAAACCAGGGACAAGAGAAGAGGTGGGCCTGCCGGTGGGCTTCAGCAGTGGCCACGGGCAGGGGGGCCGGAGCGGTCACTGGCCGCTGCTCTGGAAGTTGTCCTCAGTACAGCCGCTTCTCGTAACTGCAGGGGGGGCAGAAGGGAAAGGAGGATCAGCCCCTCCGTCCGGCAGCTGAAGGGGGGGAGACCTTTTCTCCTGAAATCAGTCTCCCAAGGGGGGGGGCAGCAGGAAGTGGAACTGGCCCCAAGGAAAGCCCCAGGGTGCCAAGCAAGCCCCCTTGCTAGCTCTCCTCCAAAGGGGCCTGCAGAGACCCCCAACCCTCACCAGGAAATTTAGGGAGGAGAGGGAGATAGCAAACCAGGCGGGGGAGCAAAAAAGGGTCGGGGGGGGGGGAACAGCAGAGGCAGCTCGCAGGGGCAGGAGGAGAAGGCAGGAAAAAGGGGCAGCTGTGGGTCTTGGGCCCTCAGCCCACAAGAGAAAAACCAGAAGCCATGAGCCCTCCCCAAAGGATTGGGGAGCCCCTCGGATCCCCCAGGGATATCAACTCCCCCCCCATGGCCCACAAGGGGCACCAGGCATCAAAAGGAGCAGGGCCTGGGCTTAGCCCTTGCCAACGGAGCCCACCCCTGGCCAGGCAGGTTCGGGGTTGGGGGGCATCAGGCCTGGGCAAGAGAGCAGCAACTTAGCTCCTTCCACTCCCCCCCCCCAGATACGGCCTCCCTGGCACTCCTAAAACCACCGGCCCCCACCAAAGAGGGCATACCCCTGGCTCCCCCCTCCCCCCGCAGGAGGTGCTCATGGCAGAGACCAGGGTCGTGGGAAGGGTGAGCACCCCGTCCATGGGGGGGGGCACTGGCCCAGAGCAACCGGCCGAGCGAGGGGGGAGGGGCTGTGCAAGGCACCCAATCCACCATCCTGGGGTGATGGGCAGAGGACGCCACTGACCCCCGTCCAGCACACCCAGAGTGGCTCGGAGTCAGTTACTTACATGGCAGAAACGTAAAGCTACAGGAAGGCAGTGGGTGGGGGGTGGGGGGCAGGGAGGGAGAGAGAGAGAAAGGGACAAGGTCAACGTGTTCCTCTCAATCGAGACCCCCACCCCCACCGCCTCACCGTCACCACACCAGCCACGGAGCTGCTTGCTAGCTGCCAATCCTACCACGCACAGGGCCCACGGGAACTGCAGTGCTGCCCAACTAGCAGAAGCCCCTCAGCCCGGCCTGCAGCCCCCTCCCTTCTTTCCCCCGCCAGGGCAAGACCTCTTGGGACGCCCCCAACTCTTCCTGCACCTCTCCACCAGGGACCAAAAACCAGCCCAGAGTAAGAGAAAGCCTGTGCCAGGCCCGCTCGGTTCCTGGGGTGTCTCGAAGGGGGGGGGCGAGGTCCCTGCAGGGCTCCCACATGCATCTGGAGGGGCTCCAAAGCCCCCTCCCCACCTGGGAGGACAGCCTCAGAGCTGCTCAGCTCCAGGGGGCACCCAAAACAGTGTCAGCAACAGGCTAATGTGGGGTCTGGGCTAGGACAGCCAGCTTTGAGTCTCTCTCTTTCTCAAAGCTCCCCACTTTTACCCATCTGCCATGTCCCCCAACAAGGAACAGGACAAGAGGAGCCCTCCCCCCATTTCCTGCTCCTTCACACAGGAGGAGCCCCCAAGTCAGGGCGACCTCACAGCACAGCTGTTTTGGGCTTCCTGGGCCCGAAAGATGTGGGGACTGGGGAGGGGGGTGTCAGCCAAGCAGAAGCAAGCTCGAGCACCAGGTGGGGTAATCAGACCGCTCCCCCAAAGGATGCAAAAGCTTTGGGGTTCTCCAGCCTTCTTCCTACAGAAAGCAGAAAAAGGGGGAGCAGAAAGGCTGTCCATCAGGACACGGGAAACGCTGCTGGTTGGGGGGACACCCCCCCAAAAGCCTCCTTTTACAAATAGCAACTGTTCTCCCCCCCCAAAAAAACACTTCTGCTTGCTGAGGGAAGCCAGACCAGGGCCAGCAAAACCCTCCCTGCCAACCCCAACTTCTCTGCCCCCCAGGGCCCCCCCAACCCAGTCACTGGCTGCGGCTGTCTGGGTGGCTACTAGCAATTCCACCTCCGAGTACCCCCCCCCCCGAAGCTTGAGCCTGGGGGCCCCACCAAGGTCCTCTGGCCACCCATTGTCACAGGAAGCAGCGCAGACCTTCTGCAAGATGAGCTCCCCCCCCTTCCCCCCCCCCAGGCAGAAAAGAAGCTTCAGGGCAAAAGCTCCTTGTTGGACCTGATGGGCTTCGTGGTCCACGTGCTTCACGGTATGGGATACGTAGTGCCCATAAGGAGAAAAGGCCACAGGACAAAATTCCCTAGATTTTTACTTCCACCGTTAGGGAGGAAAACTTCACCAAAAGTCATCCTAAGTTCTCCAGGAAAGCGAAGTAAGGACATAACACACAACACAGCAACGAGTAATAGTGACGGCCCTTGGACTTATACCCCGCTTCACAGTGAGCTTTACGGCCCTCTCTAAGCGGTTCACAGAGTCAGCCTCTTTCCCCCCCCCAACCACCTGGGTCCTCATTTTACCGACCTCGGAAGGACAGAAGGCTGGGTCAGCCTTGAGCCGGTCAGGATCGAACCCCTGGCAGTGGGAAGGCAGAGTCAGCCTGCAGTGCTGCACTTTAACCACTGCACCACCACGGCTCAAAACCGGCACCCTTTGATACCCTGTGCCGGTGTTTAACTTCTTCAGTTTTAGTCTAATCCCACATCAATCCCTGCACCCTTCCCAGCACAGCTCTCCCTCTCTCCCTCTGGTGGGGGTGAGGGGAGCCCTCCCTCAATGGGTCTCCCCCCCTACAAGCCCTGCAGGCCTTCCCCCTCGGGGCTCTGGAGCCCCAGAAGGCGCTGCCCAAAGGGCCACCGAAGAGCCCCTGCTGAGCCCGATGGCTCTTCCCGAAAAGGGCTGGAAAAGGGAGGAGGGATTGTTTCCTGGAATGAACTCCTCGGACACTGGGGAAGACTGGAGAACCCAAAGAGCGGGCACAAAGACAGGGGAAGTGCCCCAAATAAGGCCCAGCAGAGGAGGAGGAGGAGGAGGAGGAGGAGGAGGAGGAGGAGGAGGAGGAGGAAAAAAGGGCGGGCTTCTTCTCGCTTGTACCAGGCGTGCAAGTGCCCCGGTACCTGCCCTTCAACAGCCCTTCCATCTTTTGAAAGAGACCCCTCCCGCTGGATCTTTTCTCAGCCAGGCCCAAGGAGGGAGGGGGCATCTCCCTTTCCTTGGACTGTGGCACAGCTGGCATCGGCTCAGGCCCAGCGCCCCCCAAGCGTTGCTGCTCAAGCGGACCCACAATCCCTCTGCAGCCGGACGGCCTGTGTTCCACACAACCACCCCGAAGCAGCAGACGCCCACAGAGGCTGCCTGCCCCTCAGCTCACCCCTCCCCTGGCTAAGAGCAGCGGGGCAGGCAACGGGGAGGGCGCCCCCTTGCAGGCTCCCCTTGGGACAAATGCCAAGTGACCCGGGAAGGCAGCAACTCTGGGCATCGGGCGAGGCAACGTGGCAGCGGGCACCATTGCTTTCAGCACCTCCCATTCAGCCCTGGCCTTCAGAGTGGCGGATTTTGGAGGGTGCACAATGCACCCCACGCAGTGTGGGAAATCTAGTGCAGGCGCGAAGAGGCACCAACTGGCAAGAGGTGTTCTGGGCGGAACATTTTGGGTGGGAGACAGGACAGCCTTGGGGGCTACTGGGGAGAGAGGGAGGGAAAGATGGGGGAAGCCGAAGGGCAGGGCAGGGCGACCCATTGCCCAGGATGCTCCTTGCACCCGGAGGGAGGGAGGGAGGGAGGGAGGCGGGCTTGGAAGATTGGCACACTTGCCCACAAACCCTGTGGGGGGGGAGGCAAGGAGCCCCAGCCCTGAAGGCCGCATCCACAACCAGCAGGACATTTGGGGTTCCTGTTGAGACAAGCTGCCCCCTTGCCAAATGGCTCTGCCAATCTGCCAAACCACAATGCATTTGTTCCAGGTGCAGCACAACACACGTTGGTTCTGCACACCGCACACCTCCTTGCGACTCTTGGCTCCGGCCCTGCCTCAGAAGCGGCCGCCTTGTTTGCTTGGTGGAGTTCCCCCCCACCCCCCACCCCCAGCCCTGGAGCCACAAGGAGGTCTGGAGCTGGAGCAGGCAGCCCCCCCCTTTGCTGCACTTGTCCTCCAGCAGCTGATGGGGGGGCCCTCCGCTGGCCCAAGAGCAGAGGAGGCGGGAGGGCATCCCTCACCTGGACCTGCTTGGTTTGGGCATGGGGGGGGCGAAGGGGCAGGGGGTGGACAGCTCCTTGGAAGCAGGGGGGGAGGGGGCTTCAGGGCAGCAGCTGCAAACAAGCGGAGACACTTACGAGTGGAGGCCGTGGACCCCCCCCTCAATCTGGGCCGACATCGTCCTCTTCTCAAACTTTAGTTCCCCCGAATACATCATGGAGCTGGCAAGAGGAAAGGGAGGGGGGGTTAGGGGGGTCTTCCTTCTCCCCTAAGCCCACCAGGAGCACCGGGCCTAGTGCAGATGGTGGCAGGGGGGATACTTGAGGGGTCTGAGGGAGGCTGCAGCCGGCTCAACCTTTCTAGGTACCTTGGGGGGGGGGGAGAGAGAGAGAGAGAAATCAATGGAGCCCGGTCTAAGAGGGAGCCCAGCTAAGGACCCGAACCCAGGCCTTTGGGGGGGGGCAGTAAGCTTTGGCAGCATGGGGTGGGGGGCAGCCCAGGGGGGTGGGGAGTTCAGACTTCAGGGTGAGGAAGACAGCTGGCCAAATGAAGGCAGGAAGGGGGGGGCTAAGAGAGGGAGGGGCCGTCTGGGGAGGAAGATGCGAGATCTCCCCACGGGAACCCCAACTTGGGGGCTCCTCCTGGGACCTTCTTGGCACAACCTTCCCAGGCCGAGGCGCTTTTGCGGAGAGGGGGGGCCCTCAGAGCCACCCGGGCCTTGAGGGACGCTGTTCGGATTCTCCTCACATTTCCACTGGGGACGCTGCTGTGCCCCCCCCCATGCCCCTGCCAGGACCTCCTGTTCTGGGAGGCCCCCTCTGACTCCCTGGGCGCCCTGCGGCCCCTCACGCCTTCCCTTCCTCCCCTCCCCTCCTGCTGCCCAAAGCGGCCCTCTCAGCCCCGGGGGGCCCAGAGGGGAACCCCCCCCCATAGACTGGCCCCGTGAGGCCCATAGACTCACCGCAGAACGGAGAGGCTCCTGGCGCCGATGTCCTGGCAGCCGTGCTGGATGCCAGCAATCAGGTATGGCACGAACTTGTGGATGGAGCCCTTGTCCTGGATGGAGCCAGACACGCCCTGCGCCACCTTCACCTTGTCCCCCTCGCTGCAAGGCAAGGCCAGGGAGACGCTGGAGGGCAGCTCCTCTAGCCCCCCCCCGAGCTCAGAAGCAGGGGGGCTGGGCCACCCATCCTGCAGCAGAACGACCGTGGCACCGTGACCTCGCTCGCTCTCGGCCAGCCAGGGCTGCCCCCTGCCTGAGTCGGGGCCCCCAGGCCCTGGGAGAAGGGTTGCCCAACCTGACCAAGGCCTCTCCCCCTTTGCAGGGGTTCTTTGCGGCAGCCCCTCCCTCCCTCTCCCGCTGGATGCCCTGGGGCCCACCCCTGCTGCCTGCCCTCCTGCTCTAGGCCCGGCTGCCTAGAGCTGCTTTGTTCTCCACGGAGAAACCACCTCCTGCCCCTCTCCTTCTCCCCCTCCTCCCGGGCACCCCCTCGCCCCCCTCACCTGAAGTAGCGTTTCTGGCTGCTGCGGTTCTTCTCCATGGCGTCCAGGGAGCCCATTCCCCGGTACTTCTTCAGCCGCACCCCGTCGGAGAAGAAATACTCCCCGGGGGCCTCCGTGGTGGCCGCCAGCAGGGAGCCCATCATGACTGGGGGGAGAAGAGAGGGCCAGGTAGGGCGGGAGGCCGTACCCAGGGGGGGCAATCACCCCTCAGGCCAGACCAGCCACCCCTGGTCAGTCAGCCTCAAGGGAGCCCCCCCCCCAACAGCACTGAGGAGGATTGGGGGGTTGGGGGGGCCTTCGTGGCCTAAAGTGGGGCAATTAATCGGCAGCTCAAGGGGGAACAGCACCTAAAATCCAAATAACATTTTTAAGCAACTAAAATTCAACGAGTTTGTTCAAAACAGTCACGCTTTCTGGTGGCACGTATGTATGCAGTGCCTATTTGCAGAACATGAGAAAACATGCATGTGCATGTAAGCATTACGGTAGCGGTTCATTTGCCACTGACCTCCCTGTCACGGACCAAGAGGGCTCGGGTCTTTCTACCCCCCCTCCTAAGGCAAGCCCCCTCACCTGTGGAGGCCCCCAGCGAGAGCGCCTTGACCACGTGGCCAACCGTCTGGATCCCACCATCTGCGATCACAGGTACCCCAAACCGGCGGGCATACTCTGCCACTTTGTACACCGCGGTGCCCTGAGGCCGTCCGCACGCCATCACTGAGGGAGGGAGAGTCATAGGCAGGAAGGGCCCAGCGAGGGTCCGGCCCGGCCCTCGGCTGCCCCGGCAGCTCCGGAGAGCCAGGGGCTGCAGCCAGGCACGCGCAGGCGGCTCTGATCAGAGACCCAGAGAGGAAAAAAGGGTGATCGCGTTGCGGCCTCCGGGCACGGGAGCGCCAGCCTCCGCAGCTCCTGGGACTCTGCAGCGGGCACCCAGTGCCAGAGTGGCCGGGGGACGCTCGCCTTCCGAGTGGTTCACTCAGCCTCCCCCAACCCCGCTGACCGGCAGTCCCAGTAAGGATGTAAAGGTCAAGGAAGGGGCTCTCTGCCCTTTGCTGGGGGGAGGGCAGAGGATCTGGGACAGCCTCCCTCATTCTCTTGTTGGCTGGGCAAAAGCCAGCTCCCCCCCCCCCCCGTATCACCAGGGCTGCTTGGGAGATTGGGGGCTATTTTGTGGCTGCACCAAAGGCTGAGCCCAGAGGGGCCACCTCCAGGATCCCGGGGAGCACACAAGGAATTCAGAGGCCGCTTTTTCCGAGGCAGGGGGTGCCCACGCTTGGGGGTCCCAGCCCAGACTCACCTTCCTGCGTGATGCAGATCGAGCCGCAGCCCATGCCCACACGCAAGGCGTCCACACCAGCATCGATGAGGTTCTTGGCCTGGGCGGCTGTCACCACTGCACGTCCCGTAGGGCAGAAAGCAGAAGGGCCCGTAAGACCCCCGAGCAGCAAAAGACCCCTCCCGGGCCCTCGGTCCACACCAAGGCACTCTTCTGGCACGGAGGACGGATTGCCATCCACCCCCCACCCCCCCACTCCACTCTGCAGCCTGCCTATCTCTGGCAAAATAAAGCCAGAAAATGTAAATTCAGGAATTTCTGCAAAGTCACCGAGTCTAAAGAGCCAAGAAGCCAGGAGGAGCGAGTTCCAGAAACAGCTATGCACAAAAGCGATTCTGCTTATACTGAAATCAAAGCTTGTGTCTCTGCACGTCCTTCTTGCACTGAGGACACACAGCGGCCTCTGGCGCAAAGGAGATCACTCCTCGGGGTCCTATCCAACCCACCTGCACGGCCGGCGGTCCATCCGTCCAGCCGTCCGTTTTTTAGTCACAGACAGAAAAAAACCTGACTGTGAGAATTTCCACGGGGTATTTTCTAAACAAACTGCAGTTCTGGGACGAAACTTTAATTCTGCCAGTGTCTTCTGAATATATTTGTTTATAAGCCCATCAGGGGATAAACTGACCTGTGAAGTTTTAACCAAAATACCATGAATAATACCAAAATACCATTTTTCATGGTATTTTGATTAAAAATCTGAGGGTTGGTTTATCTGCTGATTGGGTTATATACACGTCCTCGACTTACAACAGTTTAAAGTCACGACACTGAAAAATGTGACTTATGACCCTTTTCCAGTTACGACTGTGGCAGCCGTCCCCGCGGCCACATGATCCAAATTCAGAGGCCGGGCCTCTGGCTCATGCTTACGACGGCCGCAGCGTCCCCAGGGTGGCGCGATCCCCTTTTGCGACCTTCTGGCGAGCAAAGTCAATGGGGAAACCAGATTCACTTAACAGCTGTTTCACTAATTTAACAATTGTTGTGATCCACTTAACAACTGTAGCAACAAAACACTCCCATGTGTCCTTCAGGTAAGCCAGACACCATTTGGGGGGTGCATTTTGGTACCTAAAATTCTCGGCTTCCCTGCAAGTACGCACGGTCGTATTTTTTTAAGACGTCCCTTGTAATCTTGCACCTAATTGCAGGTGCCAGAAATGTGGGATGCGCAGAGCAACGGGCCCCTCCCCCCAACCAGTCACTGGGTCCCGTTTGCCCCCTGGTGATCTGGCCAGGTCAGTCAGCTGGAAAAGCGTGTGTGTGTGTGTGTGTGTGTGTGTGTGTGTGTGTGCTGCAACTGGACCCTGCAGGGACCCCTCAGCTGGGGAAGCAGCCTCGAAGCAAAGGAGGTGGGGGCCAAAGGAGGACCCCAAAGGCCAGTGCCCCCCCAGGCGCTTACCATTGCCCCCGACCACCTGCAGCTCCGGACATTTGTGCTTGATATAGTGGACCATGTTGATCTGGTAGACGGAGTTTCCCTGAGAGGAGTCCTGAGGGGGGGGAGGAAAGGAAAGGAAGGGACCATCAGGCACCCAAATAGCCCCACGGGTGCCCCGTGGCGCACAAGGTGAGCAGCACCGCCTGACCACACCTACCCACAAAGGACACAGAAGGCACCAGACCCTCGGGCGCCATGCCAAGGGGGCAGCGAGCAATGCCAAGCGTAGCCTTGAGAAACAGACCAGGATCCAGCCGCACAGCTCGGCCAGCCTCAAATGCTGGGAGGGGGCCGTGGGAGGGGCTCGCACTTCCTCCACTCCTCTACCGGAGCAGCAGAAGGGAAGCATGGAGCCCGGGGGCATTCCGTGGGTGGGGGATGGGCTCGGCCTCCACTCCCAGGGCTCCTGATGGCGCTCGGGGAGACCTTTCAGCTGGGGGGAGGGGGGGTTAGCAGTGGGATACAAGGCCTTCCAGGGGCTGCTTTTGAGGGGGGGGTCAGTGGGCAGACTCTGCTCCCAGCCGTGCCAGCCTTGTCTCTAAGCGGCCCTTTGGCTTCCCTGTTTGGGGGCAGAGTTTCGGGCGCCTGAGAAGCAATAAAGGGGGTGGACACCCTCCGAATCGCCCTGGGGAGGCCCCCGGCCGTTCCCCCCCCAAGCCAGCTCCGCACCTACCAGCACCACCAGGTCCACACCGGCCTGCACCAGCAGGTCCAGCCGGTACTTGTCGTCCTCCCGGGTGCCGATGGCCGCCCCACACAGCAGCTGCTTGCGGGGGTCCTTGGAGGCCAGCGGGTAGTCCCGATTCTTCTTCAGGTCCGTGCGGGCGATGATGGCCACCAGCTCGTCCACCTCGTTCACGATGGGCAGCTTGCCTGAAGGGCAGGAAGGCCGGCCAGTCGCTCGGTTGAAGGGAGCCCCTCTGCAGTGGACCGGGCCAGGTGGGACCTGGCCTCCCCTCTCTCCCTCCCTCCCTCCCTCCCTGCCCAGGGCACTGGGAGACACCCCACCTCCCCCCCCCATCTGAGGGCAGGAGCCCCAGAAGCCTCCCAGCCCCTCCCACCTTTCTTGCTGCGCTGCAGGATCTCGTTGGCCTCTTTCAAGGTGACGCCTGCGGGAGCCACCACCAGGTCGCTGCGCGGGGTCATGACCTGGGGGAGGGAAAGGGCCCACTCAGCCCCTGGAGTGGCCGGATGCCAGCTGCTGCTTTAGCCAAGGGGTGAACCAGGCCCCCCAACTGGTTTGCCTTTCGGGGATGAGGGGGGGACGATGGGAACAGCAACGGGGCTCCAAAACGGGGCTCAGCAGGGGCCCCAATCCAGCCAGGCAAGGGCCCCAAAGGAGGGGCTGGCTCTTGCTGGGGGCCCCACCCCACAAGAGGGCTCCTGACTCCCCCGGAGCCCTTGGGGGGAGGTGGGTCGCTGCATCACCTCACTGAGAGGGGTGTTGTAGTCCTTCTCGGAGAGGAAGTCGATGTCCCTGGAGGTCACGATCCCCACCAGCTGGCTCTCCATCTTGCCCGTCTCCGTGATGGGGATGCCCGAGAAGCCGTGCCGGATCTTGGCCTCCAAGACGTCCCCCACGGTGTGGCTGGGGCTCAGGACCACCGGGTCGGTGATGAAGCCTTGCTCAAACTTCTGTGGCCGAGGGAGGGAGGAGAGGCCTTTTCTGCAGAGCCGCCCCCCCTCCCCTTTCTCTCTCTCTGCCTTCTTACCTGGGGGGGAGCCTGGCGGGCAAGTCTGGGGGGAGGGGGCTCCCACTGCTGGGCCAGCCAAAGAGCATCCAGACGCCCCCTCCTGCTGGCGTCTCTGGACCGGCTCCACACCCAGCCCAGCCCTCACACG